TATCCCACCTTAAGAAAGAAAGAAGTTGGCTTTCCTCCACCTCTTTTTTCTCCTCCAGCCCTAGACAGATGTAATGATCCACCGGCTCTTTGTATAAACCCAAATACCAAATTCTCTGGAGACCCCTCACTGACAAGTAATGCAAACGATGTCTTACCAGCTATCTGGATCTCACTTAGCCTAGTCAACTTGAAACATATAATTAGAATTTCAGGGGGCAGCATGTGGGTGGGTTCCTGATCAAACCATTCAAGCAACTTCCTTGAGCTGAAGGAAGTAAATTTCCTTATCAGAACATCCTACCAAATGTCCAGCATACTGCCTATGTACGGGCTCACTCCAAGGCTATCCAGAAATCATGAAGCAAGGGGCCCAGAGAACTGAGAGACCACAGTCAAAATGTGCTCAAAATGACCAGGAGTCCTTGGAGGGATGTGGACAATGGGAAACAGCTAAGCAGGCAGGGCAAGGTGGAGTGATGGACAAGGGATCCCAGCCTCCATGCCTGGATAAACACCACCATTCTAGCCTGCTGGTGTGAAGGAAGGAAATCGTAAGACCACTCTAAGAGTCGTGGGGATTTTCAGTATCCTGCCCCGACTTATCCTGCACATGGGTGTGCATTTGCTAACACAGACGTCAGGGACGCTGAGTGCATGCAGGTTGCTGAGCCAAACGCAACGTGTGGGTTTCTGGAAGTAGCAAGCAGCCTCTATCCTGACAGTACCCAGGAGCTGTTGAGGAAGAGAGACACTCTGTAGTAACTGAAGAGAATAAGCCAGAGCTGTGAGGATGGTGGACAGCCACTCCGGAAGCAATCTGTCTCGCATCTGGTTATGAGAAACAGCCTTGAATTGCTGGTGCCTGCCATGCTAGGGACCGACTGACTCTCAGAAAAGAAGCCAGCTGCACTGCAGGAAGCTCTCTCACCAGTCGCCTGCCATGGATGAAGCTCTGCTCTCTATTGTTCCTGGATGCTGTTTCAAGATATTTCATAAACTGGTGGCGGAGGGTTGTCTCCCCATACCTTCCAGGCAGGGACCCACACATCTTCCTCCTTGACAATCCTCAAGTGCCCCGGGTGCAACAGACTTTAGGAATGTCTTAGAATCTGGGCAGACAGTTCGAAACCTCGGTGCGACCCGGGCATTGTCACCACAGACCGGGCTGCCTTGTTGTAAGCTCAATTATCATCTGTCAGCTCAGTTCTCATCCCACTGCAGTTAAAAATGAAAAGCTTGTAGATAACTAATGAGCCACGCTGCTCTGTTGGGCCAGATTCTGCATTTTTAAGTGTCCTTCTTCAACAAACACAGGATAGGCAGACCCTCACTGGCGTCATTGTTCCTGACTCCATGGTAATTAATGGGAAATTTTCAAATTGTCTGAATCTCTATTTAAGTGATTTATATAATGGACCTTCAGAGTTGCTGTTACAATCTATCACATCCATAATGAAAGAACTTAGGTGTGTTTATTGCCAAGTTACAGAGAAAATGGCAGACTGGTGATGATAACAACTTTTTTTTTACCTCTTGGTTGCCTCACGGTTCTAACAATCTGTGTTTAGAATGACAGGACAGAACTTCTTGCATGAGGGAAGGGTATGTGGTTTGTGCTGTTTTGTCTTCCCCAGGGCACGGGCTGGTCGCTCATGATTTATGGTAGTGTCTTATTGCAAATTGCTGTAAGGAAAACCATTGCTTATCCATGAGGAAGGGGACATTTACTCATAAACGTTCAGGAATGAGACAGTGTGTGCACAGGAATGATAGAAGCTGTTTGGCTTTCTTCTCCCCCATTTTCTTAAAACAAAAGGATGCTTTAAGAATTGAGGCTTAGGAGAATGGCTCAAGAAGAGGGGGGTCATCCTAGCTAGTCCACGTGCTTAGTATGTGCCAAGTAAAGACACCAAGGGGGGAAGCACGATTCATCCCACCTCTGCGTCCACGCTATAGACATCTGTCAGAGGAGAGCAGAGTTCTTAGAGAAACAGAACGTTTCTGTAGTCGTTCAGTTTCCTATGCCCTAAGCCTGTTGGGTATGTGGTCTAGCAAATGATAGTTTCTCAAAAACATAGATTTTTAACCTAAGACGCTAAGTCATATATATTTGAAAATGACACCGGTGTTCAATAAATTTGTATTTGAAGAATACATGACAAAGAAAAGCCTTTGCAATTAGAAAACTGTTGTCATATAATTTCCAGTCTCAAGAACATTATCATTTTGCTTTTTAGTATTCTAGTTATCTTTCATACCTCTTAAATATTATAAATGTACAGAGTGTTGTCCAGAATATTTTGAAAAAAAAAACTTAAAGGAATAACTTTTTAAAATATACAATGCCGTGACTCACAAAAAAAAATCTCCATGAATGGTCCTTGGTTTGAGTATCAGTCTCAGAAAAGACCCTGTGCTCAGTTTTTGGTTCTGTTGCTCCCTTTGTGGAGCTCCTGTCCCCTCCAGGTCTTTCTATCTCTCCCTTCTTTCATAAGATTCCCTGCACTCTGCCCAAAGTTTGGCTATGAGTCTCAGCATCTGCTTTGATACCCCGCATGGTAAAAGCCCTTCAGAGGCCCTCTGTGGTAGGCTCCTGTCCTGTTCCCTGTTTTCTCCCTCTTCTAATATCAATCTTCTTTGCCTTTCTGATTGGGAATTAAGCATCTTAGCCAGAGTCCTTCTTGATTTTTCTTTAGGTGTACAGATTTTAGAAACCCTGCATAGACGTAGCCCATGGCAGTTCAATGTCCACGTGGGTTCCATAGTAATGGGAACAGGGACTGTCTCTGATATGAACTGATTGGCCAGCTCTCTGATCACCTTCCCCTGAGGGAGATACAGCCTTACCAGGCCACAAAGAAAGACAATGCAGCCACTTCTGATGAGACCTGATAGACTAGGATGAGAAGAAGACCTCCCCTATTAGTGGATTTGGGGAGGGGCATGGGTGGAGAAGAGGGAGAGAGGGTGGAATTGGGAGGGGAGGAGGAGGGAGCTACAGAGGGATACAAAGTGAATAAGCTGTAATTAATAAAAATAAAAAATTCTCAATTCAAACAAGTCTTATTTATGAAAGTATGGATTTTCTAGATCTATGGGAGATCTTTATGCCAATATTTTTAACTTTTTTTGCATTTAGCATAAGATTTAAAATATATGCTTTTAAAATCAGAGCCAATATTCGATTATATTATATAGAGACCATATGGTACATTCTGCTATGGTATCAATGTGTCCCCTGAAGTGTCCATGCTGGCTGTACTCTACAACACAACAGCATCAGTAGCAGGGGGCCTTACAAGCGTGCTCAGGGAGAGAGGCCTCTGCTCATATTAATAGATCAATGTCAATGCCCTATGGCGAGGGTGACTTTGTCACACAATAGTTTTCCCCCCTCCGTGTACTTTCTGTCTCTCAGGCCTTCACTTGGTTGTCCTCTTTCTCCTGATCTCATTCCTCCCCATCCCACCGTTTAGTGCCTCCTGTCATACGAAGCTGCGCCTCCACTGACGTAACTGGCCCATCTTGGATTTCTCTACTTCTAGAAGTGTGAGACTCTAATTTTTTTTTCTTTTTATTACCCAACCTCTGGGATTCTGTGACAGCAACATGAATTAACTGAGACATTCTCAAAGCATGTTGCAGTAGTTGTTGTTATTTAGTTGTACTGAAGTGTTAAATTTCAATCCCAGCATTTAGGAGGCACAGGTAGGTGAATCTCTGAGTTCTAGGACAGCCAGGGCTACACAGAGAAACCTTGTCTAGGAAAAAAAAATCTTGCTCCTTTTTATTGCTGAGCAATACCCCATGTATATCTTACCTGTTTGCCAGTTGATGGATATTCTGGCTTCTGTGACTAAAGGTACTATGAAATTTTTTTGTCAAGCGTTCATGTGAACATGAATTGCTCTTTAGGATAAATGCCTATGGTATGGCTGGTTCATGTATGAAGTGAATATTAGGTATTCTCACTATTGGTATAATAATGCCTGAGATAAACAAATTAAAAAGCAGTATTCAATTTTGGTCATATTCATGGCAGAGACAGCAGGGCATTGCCACAGAAGGCTGAGTGGCTCCTATTCTTGTTACAGAAACCCTGAGGCAACTCACTCACAACATGGCAGCTGCCCTGGAACCAGAGAGCTCAGACAGCATTTCCTTCAAACATTGCCTGTGTCGGCACCTCCTTCTTGCTTTCAGAATTATTAATCATATTGACTTGTAACTCTTTGACTTACCATGTCTCTCTCCTGCTGTGGTTTGAATATGAAATGTCACTGATAGCTTCAAGTGTTGAAATCTTAGTCCCCAGCTGACAGCACTATTTAGAGAAATACTTGAAACTAAGAGGTAGGTCCCAGCTGGAGGAAGTAGATCCCTGGGTACCCATCTTTGAAGGTTATGCCTGGTCTTCCTCATCATACCTCTGTTCTTCCTGTTCACCCTGACACAAGTACCCTCTGCCATTGTTCCCAGCATTATGAGACTCTGCCGTGTCACAGAAGCTAACGTGAATCAGTGAAGCTAAAGACTATGGCTTCTCCTGAACCATGAGTCAACTCTGTTCTTTCTAATTGTTTATGTCAAGTATTTTGACACAATGACAACAAATCAGATTAGCACATCCCTCCTAAATTTCCCTTCATGTTTCACCCTTTTCCTTCTCAGTGGGCACTCGGGGGATGAGGAAAGCTTTGGCCTTCCATCCCAATCCCTTCAACTGCTTTCAGTTCAGTGTTCCATATAAGGTTTACTTTTTTGCTTTGAAGGCTAAATTTTCCATTTCCAAGATTTCTGAATGACTTCTACTTACATCTGTCTATTACTGGCACAGTTTCCTACTAAATTCACGTTTTTAAATTGTTACTTTATCATACTGAAGGTAGTAAGATATTTATATTAAAGTAAATTTTTGATTCATACATTATTTATAGCCCCCAGGCAAAAATTCTTTGATTTTTATCTGAGTGCTCTCACTGCCTGGGCATTGCCTACCTGAAGTCACTCCGCCACTTCTGTGTGAGCACAGCTCAGGTGTCCTAGAGCAGCACTGTGTCCTGCCGATAGATGGTGGCTGTTACAAGGCAGTTTTGACTGTTTCTTCTTCCCCTTCACCACAGTTTCAATTTCCCCACCTCCCAGAGCGAAGGAGAGTGGTCAGGACATGACCCAGCCAGCATTTCAAGAGGTAAAGGAGATTATGTGTGGCAGCTCCTGGGAGACAGGGGCTGGGATATCTGAAGCTACAAAGGCCGACAAACAGCAAATTCCACAAGGAAGGAACAGGGGAGACGTCTTTGTCAGCACGGCTGAACTGCTAGAACAAACCTCCTGTGTTCTTGTTCCTGGGAGGGATAAGTAAAAATTGTAGCCAAGGAAAGCTACAACTTCTTGCTGCTAAATCTTTCCCAACTGGTAAAAAAGGTTCTTCCCCATCCTCAGTTTGGAAGGTCTGCAGCTGGGAAAAAATGGGCTCACCTTTGCAAATCTTTCCTGTTCCAGACAGCCGGTCATGCAGTCACCTCTGCTTCCCCTCTCTCCGCCATACAGTCACCTCTGTTTTCTCTCCACCACGCCAGCACCTGTTTCCTCTCTCACCATGCCAGCACCTCTGTTTCCTCTCTCCACCAGAGAGAAACAATTTGTTAGCTGCTGAAACCCCCGCTGTGGTTCACTGGAGTCCTCTCAGCTTCTACTCACATGTCTAGAAGCACATTCCCCATCACTGGCAGAAGAATAGAAGCATGGAGTGTGGCTCCTGGCTGTCCAGGACAGCTGAAATGCCAGGCCCAGCCCTTTCTCTCACCAGCGCCATCTCCGCCACCTCCCATCCCCACACTCTGCCATGGGACTACACACACACACACACACACACACACACACACACACTGGGCTAGCTCTGCCTCTTTCCTTTAGCATGGCTGCACAGTGCTGACTTCTGTCTCTAAGTTGTTCCTAATTTCCTCATGTGGAACAAAAGGGAAACTTCTGGAGCTGCTTGTTTTGACTTCTTTTCCAACCCAATCCGATTTTAAATTATTGCATTTGAGCTTCTCACAAGTGGGCTTATTCTTGGAAAGGTCCAGAACCACAAAAGAATATAAAAACCAACAGAAATGCTATTACACCGTGACTGTTAATGTCTGGAGCAATGCTCCCTGGTCTTCTTAATTCTGTTTCATGACACTGTGACACGAATGTAATAGATGGGTTCTGTTGTGCCTTGTTATTGAATGTTCTCTATTGAATCTAGATGGTTCCACAAAGGTGTATACTCGATATAAATATATCCTATGCATCTACCATAGCTTTCCGATTCCCCAATTATGGATCTGTAAATTTGTATCTACTCTACATAATGCTGCATGGTAAATATTTTAAGATTTCCTTAGGAAAAACTCCTAGAAGTGGAATTACTTAGACAATGGATATAAACATTTTAAATACATATACAAACACATATCTGTTGCCAAAGCATTCTCTCGACAAATGTTCGTCCTCACAAACTCTGAGTATAATAATGTTTTAAGCTTGCCAGTTTGATAGACAAAAAAACCTCAGTGCTCATTTAATTTACATTTCTTTGATACTCATAAGTTTGAGCATTTTTCATATGGTAATTAGCCATTTGTCTTTCCTCCCAGTGCATTTTAAATAAGATTGTATTTACTTAGAACTTTTCAGAGACAGTCATTTCACAAATCAAATTAAGATTCCTTTTTATGCCCAGTAAGTCTATAAAGCCTCTGAACGGTTTGTGTTGATATCTGTTTCATAACGGGCATCTCCTTTGCAAGTTGAAACGGCATCGTCAAGTTGTGTCAGGTCCAAGTGCTAATTAGACTCTCTTTAGGTAATTTACATCCATAGATACGGGAGTATAGAGCTATGTATATAAACATGAGTGACCAAGTTATACATGTGACATCTATGTGCATGCTTGTGTCATTGTATATATGTATATATACATAAATAATTCATTATAAGAATAAGTATGTATATACATACATACTTAGTTACAGGTACAAATTATTTTTATCTGGGCACAATTAGATATTTCCATAACCTCTGGTCATATACAAAACCTGCCTTGAAACTGATTAAAAACCATCAACAATACATTGATTTGGAATTTTCCATTTTGTGTTGTTAACCTTGAATTAGACCTTAGCTATAATTTGGAATAAAGAGAATTGCCCTGTGGTTGAATTAATAATCACAGCTTCAGGGAATGAGGAGGAGTGGCACAGTTGGTAAAGGGCTGGCTGAACAGCAAAGCATGAGAACCCCAGTTCAGACCTTCCACAGCTCCACAAAAATCAGGCATGGCAGCACACTTCAGCAACCTCAGAGCTGAACAGGACTGGGTCAGAGACAGGCTGTTTCCCAGTACTCACTAGTCATCCAGGTTAGTGCAATAGACCCTCTCTCAAAAGATAAGACAGAGAATAATCGAAGAAGACATCTAAAATCAGCTTCTGCCCTCCACAGACATGTGCACGCGCTTTCATGCAAATCCATACACGAATATGCATATATACTAAAATGTATTTTACATATATAGTCAAATATGTATATATACATCACACACACAAACCACAGGTTTACACTCTCAGTGGTGGAGTGTTGAAATATGTTTCCAGAAGCTGAAATATTCTGAGGAATTAGTGGGAAATGGCCTGATAGTTGGTAGATTTCAAATTGTGTTGTGAAGAGACAGGTCCTTCTCTGCAGAGAAGAGCAAGAAAGGTCTGGTCTGAGACTATGGAGGAAATTGCAGTGTATAAGAACCAGAAGTGACCAGGGTGGAATTCTGGCTGAGCGTATCTTTGTACATGGTCCTAAATGTCTGCAGGTGGCATAGCTGAAAACAGTCATTCTGGGGCTGGGGAGATGGCTCAGTCAGAGCCTGCTGTGCAAGCATGAAGACCTAAGTTTGAGCCACAGCACCCACATAGAAGTCAGATGTGATGATGTGTGTCTGTAACTCTAGCCCTGGTGTACCGGTAAAAGAGTCCTTGGAGCTCCCTGGCCAACCAGCCGGGCCAAGTAGATAAGCTGCAGGTTCAGTGAGAGACACTGCCTTAAAAAACAAGGAGGAGCGCCTGTCCTCTCCAGGTCTACTATCTCCCCCTTCTTTCCTAAGATTCCCTGCACTCTGCCCAAAGTTTGTTTATGAGTCTCAGTATCTGCTTTTACACAATGCTGGGTAGAGTCTTTCAGAGGCCCTCCATGGTAGGCGCCTGTCCTCTTTCCTGTTTTCTGGAAGGGAAGGAGGACCTCCCCTATCAGTGGACTTGGAAAGAGGAATAGGAGAAGATGAGGAAGGAAGAGTGGGATTGGGAGGGGAGGAGGGGGGCTACAGCTGGGATACAAAGTGAATAAACTGTAATTAATATAAAAATAAAAATCTAATTAAAAAGTAAAAATAAGAAAACAAGGTGGAAATGGTAGAGGGGTGTTCCAGCTTTAACCTCTGACCTCTATACACTGCACATGCACAAATGAACGTGCACACCTACACATGTACACACACAGTCAGTATGCCAACCAGCATATGAGGAGTACTCAGTTCATGTGTGTGCACATGTGAAGGCCAGCAATCAGCATCAGGTGTTGTTCTTCCGGACGCATCCAACTTTTCTTCATGAAACGAGGTCTGACATTGGCTAGACTGACCAGCCAGGGAGCCCAGGATCTGCTTCTCCAGTCCTGGGATTACAAGCGTGCACCACTGCACCCAGATTTTTCAGATGGGTTCTAGAGATCAAACGCATGTTCAAGAGCACGCACTTTCCTGACTGAGCCTTCTTCCAGCCTCTGTCTGATTTTTTTCTTTTCTGTTTTCTTGAGATGGGGTTTCTCTATTCATCCTCAGCTATTCTGGACTGGCTTTATAGACCAGGCTGGCCTCAAACTCACAGAGATCTGTGACTGTGTCTGTGCCTCCCTGAGTGCTGGGATTACAGGCATGCGCCACCGTGGCCATCTTAATTTTTTATTTTCTTATTCCCTCCTTTAATTGGCACATATTAAATTAGATAAGCAAGTACAGCCAGGTGAGGTTCTTTTTTAAAATTTTGATATAGGGGTCTCACTATGTAGCTACTGGCTAGCCTGGAACTCTCTTTGTAGATCAGGCTGGCTTCAACTACTGAGCTCTGCCTGCTTCTGCCTTGTGAGTGCTAGGATTAAAGGTGTTCAGCACACACCTAGGCTGGGCCAAATTTTACACACTCAGTGAAGATGTGGGCATACCAAAAACAAAGATGAAAATTTGACCTGGTATTTCAATGGCTATTTAATCTTCATCATTACAAAAAAAAAAAAAATCAGTGAAAGAACCAAGATCTTTTTGTTTTGCGTGAAAAAAAAAAAAAAAAACTAAATAAATATTCCTTAACACTTTTGTCATATCCTCAGAGCAAGTTACAGATTCTCCCACTGGGTAGGTTTTTATGACTAGGCCAGGCTAAATGGAAGCCTGGAGTGTCTGTCTCCATCAAGCCAACCTTAGCCATTTGTAGTCTTAATTTGTGAATAAAATTTAGTTCAGATACTTTTTAAATAGGAAGGAGTCGTGATAGAGTCACAGAAGGGACTATGCATACAGTATAGGAAATCTCAGTCTTGTAACCTAAGCTGAGTCCTCTCTGCAAGATGACACTGACATAAATGATACTTGTTTCATGTGGTCTGACAGGATAATTATGACAGACATACATGATCAAGTCACACATACAAGACATATAGTTACAAATAATTATACTTAAAACGTATAGTTACAGCTAACTAACCCATATGCTGGTAATATGCATATAAGTAAGATCTATGTGGAGAAGACCTATTGTGTCCCTCGTGGCTTGTTTTTCCTCCATGACTTTGATACTCTTCTTTGAAATAAGAACCAGAGCTCTATCATCGGAGGACCTTGAACATTTATGAACTCTGTGTTCACTCCTGTGCCTCCATTTTCCACTGCAGGCCTTTTCCCTGAAGCTTGAGTCTCTTACCTTATAAGGAGTTGGGGTTGCAGCCAAAAGCACTTAATACTTTCTTTTTTTTTTCTTTTCTTTTCTTTTTTTCTTTCTTTCTTTCCTTCTTTCTTTCTTTCTTTCTTTCTTTTTTTTGTGATTAGCCGATATCTATCATAATGGACCTGCTTCCCACACAAAAGCAAAACCAAAGTATGTAAAAAAGTCAGAAGCGCTAGCAGCCACTCTGAATTTCATCCCTTCCACCTCCACATCCTAGTTGCCAGAGCTGGCTATCTCCTGCTCCGATGCTTAGCTCCTCTGGCTTCCTAAGCACTTTCCCAGTGGTGGGCACTTGTTCTAGGCCCTGTGTGCTTTGAGGCTTGTGTTGGATCCACCTTTCTAGCTTAGCATCCAACCTCCCCGTTTCTTATGATTGTGGGTTTGCCTAGTTCCCTCACGCTGTGGCCACAGATGAGCCCAGATGTTCAGTTTGGTGCATTGTTAGGTGTGGTCTAACCACAGAAAGTGTTAGAAAAGTTCTATGAACACTAAAACAACCCTGGATGGGCTGGAACAGCAAGGTCTGAAGTGGTCACCAGTGAGATGGGCACAACGCTAGGGCTGGGGCAGAAAAACAAGCCTCTGGGTGGCTCAGTGAAGAGGCTGCGCAAAGAGCCAGGAGCCCAAAAATGAACCAAATGTGTATG